AAAAATGTCTCTTCACGAGGCATTCAGTATTCTTATGGTCCAGTGGCCTTGTCTTTTGCTAGATAAAATGATCTAACGTGTAATTTGTTTTTAAGCCGTTCGTTTCTCCTAATGGTTTAAAATTTTATTAAAGCAAACTTCCCCAAGCCCACTGTTGGTGCCGGGTAGGAATGGTCGCTGACCTCCCCCACCCCCCAATCACTGCGCTCACTGTAACTTGATGCTTGGGCACTGAGATAGGGTTGGCTGTACACTCACTGGTGTCCATCAGAATGCAAGCGGACAGTCACTTTCTGCCATGTGTGAGTATAATTTCGTTCTAACAGAGACGCATCCAAAAGCATCTCTCTCTCCCTCTCTCTCTCTCTCTCTCTCTCTCTCTCTCTCTATATATATATATATATATATTGAGAATTCAAGAAAGAAATTCGGATTACTAACACAAAAACAGAAAATGTCTCATATTTAACATTGAAAAACATAAGGAAAAAATTAATTATTTTTAATAATATGTGGAAATCTTCGCTTTTTACCTGAAGACGGTCGCGAGACCAAAAACACGTGTAGTAAAATTATGTAAAACAAGGCATAATATTTTTTCTAAATAAATCCACATTACAACCAAAAACGTTTGCGGCACATCTCTTCTCTTATTTTCATTATACATACTTTTCTCTCGTTGGAACCACTACAATCTCTTTCTTATATATATATATATATATATATATATATATATATATATATATTCCAACGTATTCGTGTATTTATTTATGTATTTATTTTATATTTTCTCTTGGACATGTGTAGAGGCTCACACCTTGTTTCCTGTCTAGGAAGGGGTTTCCGGAACTCTCTCTCTCTCTCTCTCTCTGGCCTCTGTACTAGTGATGATGTGTTTCTCCCGTGACGTGTGCAGTCTTTGGCATTGCCTCTTCATTTTGAGGGTACACGGTTGACAGTTCCCTGGTTGCTGTTTCCGACTGGCAGTTAGGAGCCCTAACTCTTGCGTAGCGTCTTGTATAATACCGGGGTGTTTATAGTGCCATGACGCGCATGGAAAGGTGTCGCTGCAGTCACCTCCAGTGGGCAACCCTGAGGCCACACTATGATGCAGGCTGTGCCAACTCCTCTCTGCTCATGTCGCGGTCGATAACCATCTATTTCTCTTACTTCAGGCCTTCTCATCTTCCAACAATTACTCCACATGAAGACTCAAAAGAACCAAAAAAGTAAACCTAAACCAGCCCCGCAAAAATCACCTAAACCCCTCAACATTTCGTTCGCCAACATCCGTGGCATTAGAACAAATTTCTGCAGTATGGAATCTTTCCTCACTGCAAACTGCCCGGATATACTGGCTCTGTGTGAGACCAACCTTGTCTCGTCTATTCCCTCCTCTGATCTCTCGCTCCCCGGCTACCTTCCTCTCTTCAGGAAAGACTCTCTAACCCACATGCACGGCCTTGGTGTCTACGTCAAGGACCATTTCCCTCTGGCCAGAGAGTTGTCTCTCGAATCGCCAGACCACTCGTCCATGTGTCTCCGACTATATCTCCTCAATGCCGTAAGCTATCTCTTTTTCCTCTATCGCTCTCCATTCTCTCCAGACTGTGGGATACTCGATAGCATATCTGACAGCATAGACAAGGCCCTCTCGCTCCATCCGTTTGCTCACATATTCGTGTTTGGTGACTTTAACGCCCATCATACCAAGTGGCTCGAGAATGCTACTACTGACCACGCAGGCATTCAAACACATAATGTCTCAATTCCTACGCAGATAGTTAAATTCCCCACGCGTTTTGCCCTCAACCTGGAAGGTAAGGCCTCTCTTCTCGATATGTGTTTTACCTCCATCCCCGAATCTTGTAGCGCCACGCAGCTCTACCCTCTTGGTAACTCCGATCATGTTGTAGTATCTGTTAACATTTCCTTCAACTCCACCCCACCGCAGAGAACCTCCTATCACTAGAACCTCGTTCTACTATCAACGAGCGGATTGGGACTCGTTCCGTGACTTCCTCTGCGATGTCCCCTGGTATGTTGTCTTTACACTCCCTGTCCAAGAATGTGCTTCTGAGGTCTCATCCTGGGTTAAAGCTGGAATCGACGCTTTCATCCCCTCAAGAAAATTTAAGGTCAAGTCGCACTCCTCCCCTTGGTTCTCCGCTGCTTGCTCAGCCGCCATTGCCCATAGGAACCACATCTTTCACCTATTTCGTAGCGACATGTTGGACTGCAATAGACGTCTCTTTGCCTCTGCCTATAACGAGTGTAAGCGTGTCCTCAACGAAGCTAAGTCAATATTTGCTGCTCGGATGAAGGAGCGTATTGTATCTCACAAATTTGGCTCCAAAGATTATTGGCGGCTCTGCAAGAGCGTCCTGAACAATAGAAAACCCTCCATACCTCTTTTCAACCAGTTCGAGGTCCTGACCTCCTCTATCGACAAGGCTGAATGCTTTGCTCGGAAATTCTCATTTAATGCAACGCTCGACTCCTCCGGTGTACCCATACTTGACTTCCCTCTAAGAACTGATGCCCTATTGAGCGGGTTACACATAACACCGTCATTGGTATTGGGAATTATCTTAATTTAGACCCCCACAAGACTAGTGGTGGAGATGGCATACCAGCCATTGTCTTGAAGAAATGCGAGCCTGAGCTAGCGCCCGCCCTCTCTAAACTATATAATTACTGTCTCAAGGAATCCCTTTTTCCTGACTGCTGGAAGTCCTCATCCATTGTTCCTGTCTTTAAGAACTCTGGAGACTCCTCTGACCCCTCTACCGTCCTATTAGTCTCCTACCCGTCTTCGGCAAAGTCTTCGAAGCCCTAATCAACGCCGAAGTGGTTAACCACCTTACATGCCATCACGACCTGCTCTAAGACAAGCAATATGGTTTCCGCTACGCCCAATCTACAGCTGATGTGCTTACGACCATCACTGAAACCGTCCACCAAGCCCTTCAAAATAACGGTGAGGCCCGTGCCGTGGCCCTAGACATCTCCAAATCGTTTGATAGGGTTTGGCATAACGGCTTTCTTCCCAAGCTCCAGGGTTATGGTATTACAAGACGATTGTTTGACCTAATACAATCATTACTGTCAAACCGTGAATTGAAGGTCGTTCTCAACGGATTCTCCTCCAGTTCCTATCTCACGAACGCAGGTGTTCCCCAAGGCTCCATCCTTGGCCCCACTCTATTCTTTATTTTCATCAACGCCCTTCCTGACGCCATAGATTCCCAAGTTGGCATCTACGAGGACGACACTACAATTTACTCCTGCCTCAAAAACAGATCTAGTGTCACTGACAAAACTAACCTGGCCGCTCGTATTGAAATGGACCTCCAATCGGTTGTTAATTGGGGCAAGAATTGGTTGGTTAACTTTAACGCCTCAAAAACTAAACTACTCTCTATTAATCACCATAGAGATCCTTCCCTGTCCCCCATTAGAATGTCTGATAGTCAACTGCTTGAGAGCAACTCTCTGCTTCTGCTCGGTCGCACGTTGACTTCTGACCTGAGATGGAACAAATAAATTGAGTCAATTGCTTCGTCCACTGCGAGGAAAGTTGACTCTCTGTGCCGCGCCAGGAAATTTTTCTCCCTGGAATCGATACTTCAAATATAAAAATCAACCATTCGCCTTTGCATGGAGTATTGCTGCCATATATGGTCTGGGGCACCTTCTGTTTACCTCGGAGTTCTTGACAAGATCCAGAGGCGGATATGTAATATAATTGGCCCTGATCTGGCATCTCGTCTACAGTTGCTCTCAGAGACGCACCGTCGCCTCTCTCTGTCTATTTTACAAATACTTCCATGGTATTTTCTCCGATGAGCTGCTTTCACTGGTTCCCAGACTTCATGAATTCAAGCGCCCTACGAGGCTGGCATCCCGCTCTCACCCTTTCACTGTAGAAACTTTTCAATGTAGCCGTCTCTCCTACCCCAATAGCTTCATACCTCACACCTCTCGCCTGTGGAACACCCTTCCCAATTACTGTTTCCCTGTGGTATATTCTCCAACTATACAAATGTAATATCAATCGACATATCCAGTTACCTTGATCTATCCACTATCCCTCTCCTCATCCTTTCTTCTATCACTCCTATCTGCTCTCGCTCCAAATCTTCTGAAACCCCCTGCATCCTAGTGGCTTCACGCCTTGCTCGGGGCGTAATGCTTAAAAAAAAAGAACAGATGCGAATTCTTTACAGGCATGAACGCCTCTAATGAGAACGAAATTGATAAGGATTACCATAAAATTATACATATCAGAATAATGAAGGAGTAATATTCGTTTCATACGCTTCTATTGCTCACCAGAATGCTTCCCTCAGGGTTGTCTATTAAAACTATTAATTAACTGAGGTCATAGTTTAGCATTTAGTTCATTATTCGTGCCTTCTCAAAGTCAATCTTTTTATTCAATCCTATGTATAAATTCTGAACAATTGGGATTTCTTTAAATTTTCGAGTTTTGGCCAATCAGATGGTTGGATTTCGTGTTGCCCATAACCCTTTAGCTTCAAAATGGCGGCTATCGTTTTTAGCCAATGAGAAACGTAGTTTTCATTTGGCTCAAGAACTATGTCTATTAAAACTATTAATTTTATCGCCTCCATTTCGGATTTGCTTCTTGTTCTTTGTTCCAAGTTAATGTGTAACTTTTAATAAGTAATATATTGTAAAGATTTCAGATAGACTATATTTGTGAAAGGACAATATGAATAAAAAAAAAAAGAAAAATTTATCTTAGCTGACGCATTTCGTCCTCTGAGGAGTTAAAATCCCTCAGTGGACGAAACGCGTCAGCTAAGTTTTCCATTTGTCTTTATTCACGGAATATATTGCATGTCGGATGATAGGAATAATATAAAAAGCTATGTATTATGTATACATGATGATGTATCATAAATAGCTCATGTATCATGTTTAACTCACAATGTTTTATAAGATCAAAGAGGCCAACAAGAAACAATATATACACGCAGAGGGAGAATATGAATAGGCCGGGGAGGAAAAAATATACCGTCCCTGATGACCCTGAGTAAGAGAAAAAGGAATGTGTAGATATTGAATGGAAATAATGTACAGTCGTAAGATAGATAATGCAGTGATGCCAATGGAAAACCACATACCGAGCGCATGGTGGAATGGTATAAAAGTTGATTAGTGAAGGAAGTGACTTGTAAAAATATCTCAGTGAACGGCACATCAGCTATGCTAAATTCGCTGAATACGACAGGCAAGGTGATTTGATTTAGTTTTTTATACAATTTCTTATGTGATCTAATATTTTTTTTATTTCCGATAGGGCGTCTTTTAAGCTAGCTTAAAATTTTAAGCTAGCTGCAGTTTTGAATAACAAAAGGAAAATAAGAGTTACGCCCTTTGAACCATGAAAGCAACGATAATGGCTAGTATAATATATTAATATATATTTTTAACCTCGCATTATCTGGCAACCCTGAATCTGAGCTCACCGAAGATCGTTCCGTGCGCCGAACTTTTATATAGCTTTTAAATGAGCTATGAATCATTGAAATCGAACCAGTGGGAGCGGAGAAGTTGCTTGGACACACACACACGCTCACAAATATACATGTATACACTGTACTTTTTATAAGATATATCGATGGTACTTATACGCGCATTTTAGTCAAGATGTCGCCAAATGTCAGGCGTCAACTTGTTTCTCGGATCGCATTATCTCAGCTATTTCTAACGGTCGTTGTTTTGGCGTTTTTTGGTTGGTACTGTACGATGATCACGGATTCAAAATATCAGAGATAGATTGGAGCATGGCGTGTTTTCACGATCGGCCAATCTATCACTGACAAGATTCTTGTCTGTCCAATATCGATCCGGGGACTCGCAGAGAAGCCCCCACCTCGCGCAAGCACTCGGCTGGCCTGCCTGGAAATGCATCAATTGCGAAGCAAGAATTTACCGGCGTCTACGGTAAGAACAGCGCACTGTGCAAAATCAAATCCAGGAAAATGCAAGCGAAACGTGTGGAATACACTGGCTAGTGAAAAATGAAAATCTCAAGCTTGATCATTGCATTTATCTCTTTTACTCATATTTACATTTAGTATATATATATATATATATATATATATATATATATATATATATATATATATATATATATAATTATTTATTTAAAATATGATTCAAAACGCGACATAAGAAGTCTCATGTTTCAAAACAAGAGCCGAAAACTTCAATATAATTATTTAAATTAAATTGAGTTAAAATAAGCTATGTTCCATCTTCAAGCGAAATTTTTATTGGAATAACGTATTTCAGAAATTTAGGTGTTTTAAAAATTGAAATCAAAATTTCCATGGTAACAGCTAGGGCGAATTGTTTAAATTGGGTAGGCGAGTGTTGGGTGTTAATAATAAGTATCAGTATAGAGTTACTTTCGTAGATGTCAAGTCAGGGAAAGGTGGGGGTGTCTAAATTTGAAACGGAAGATGTATTAACCCTCGTCTAGTTTGCATGTCTATGGAGATTTATTTATTTTTTTATTTTACTTTTTTATGAAAGGGATTTGTGCATATAAAAAAACTGTCGTAACGTTTGTTTTTGACTGGCACAAAGGGCATGGGTCATCCCAAGTTTTACATGTTCTAGCCTTTTTAATAATTTTCCATTTAACTTTAGGTGTCCTATTTGTTTCCTTCAGATGCCAAAAATATTTAGATAGGGAAGTCTGATTTATTTTGTTTATATTATTGAAAGAGCACTTATGCTGCCTCCATCTATCTTTAAAATCATTCTTCGTGGACCCAATGTATATCTTATTAGTGCTAGGGTTCTCAGTGGATGATTTAGTACATTGGTATACCGCAGATTTCTAGGTTTCTACAGTTACATAATTTTCCCCTTTTATTTCCCGATTTAAGTGCAGGGTTTTTATTAATACTGTTTAGGCATGGGGGTTTGTTCAAGATCTTATTATTGTGTTTTTTTATTATACGTTCAAGATTTTCAGAGCAGCTGTAATTCAATTTTAGGGTGTTCTTATTGAATATATTACTAAGCTTACTATTGGTGGGGTAGTGTTTATCAATTAGGGCTAAGAATTTCTGTCCTAGTTTAATATTAACCATTTGGTTGAACGGAGGGGTGTACCAAATGATTTTTCTTTTCCTGTTTTTTTTCCTATGGCCAGTGCAATTGTCTCTATAGTTAATGTTAGCATTTTTATAACCACTATTTTTTAGGGCAGTGTTATAGAAGCCATTGTGTTGTTCGAATATTTCCTTGTTAGCGGAGTTAATGCTAATTCTATTTTCTATTTATGAGGGTATATGTTTAATTATTGATGGAGGATGGTTTGACTTCGGGTGTATGTATAAAGGGTTAGCATTAGGTTTACTATAAGGTTGGTATGTGTTGCCTGGTAAGTCTAGAGTTACGTCGAGGAAGTTAACCCTTTTTAAATTAGAAGAGACAATTATCTTTAAGTTTAGTTTTTTAAATTCACTAAATATAATTTTTCTGATTTTTTCAATCTTAAAACTAGTAGAACTCCTCACCACCATGAGCCCGTCATCTCTATACAGTCCGATGTCCTTAATATCAATTTCACCGTGTGCCGTTAAGTTGTACAGTATAAGAGGACCAACAAGGTCAGAAGACTCTGCAGAGTCTAATGATCCCATAGTGATGTCAAACAGGTCGTTATTTTTTTTATCCATTAGTCCCCATTATGAATGAGGACCGATTTCTTTGCGCTGAGGATTATATCTGTTTCTTCGTTTATATATATATATATATATATATATATATATATATATATATATAGGTAACTATACTCATTTCGAAAAACTTCGAATTCTTGATTTGCATATAATCAAATCAATCACGAAAGGAAAATAGTTTTAAAAAAAGAAAGAGCTAGAAACATGAAAGTCTGTCGGAAAAAAATTGCACAGATACAGGTTCAAAGCCAAAGAAAAAAACTCCGACACAAGTAAACAACTAACTAAAAAGAGCTCAATACAACCGTAGAGCAGACCTAGATAAACCTAGTGAGCCGGACAAACCTACCCACTTTTCACCTAAGCGGATCGTCAGGGAAAGCATATATATATATATATATATATATATATATATATATATATAATGTGTGTGTGTTTGTATGTGTATATATATATATATATATATGCATATATATGTATATATATATATGTATATATATATGTATGTGTATATATATATGTATATATCTGTGTATATATATATATGTATGTATGTATGTATATATCTATGTATGTGCTATATTTATGAGATAAAGTGCTCAATATCAGAGCTATAGCGTGTGTAAATATAAAGTAAACATTGAAGTCAACACTTAGAAGCGACAGGCTGTTTCTTGCTAGATGCAATCGTTAGGCCTGACGATTTTATCTAGCATGAAACAGACTGTCGCCTCTAAGTGTTGACTTCTATGTTCACACACACAGACATATATATATATATATAAATATATGTATATATATGTATTTATTGCTTCAAACTTTACAACAATGGATATTCTTATTTGAAATTTATTTTTGTTTTTTAGTGTGTAGTATTACGCCTATTGGTATACGCATTCGAGTAATCGCTATAAAATATGTGATCTCGTCTATGTCGGGCAAACCAATGTAAAAATTCACCTTCATCTCTGCCGAGAGCCGGTAGTTTAGGGGAAAAATCTCCGATTGATGCTAAATCAGTTGGGTTTCGATCCTGGCTTGTGGCAATCGGATGTCTAGCCACACTGATGAGCTGTGATACAACAAACAAAAGCTATGACTCAAACACAAATAAAAAAAAGCAAGTGCACAATGTCGAAAGATAGGGCTTATATCGTTAACTAATAAAGCAGTTTGTGTTACTATGTAACTCCTCTGAAACTTCTCAGTTGTAGAGGAGGTACGTAACAACTAATGATAATAATTTTATGCAACTTCAAATTACATTTTCTTTCATTTTATTTTAAATCTATTTATTTTTAATTTTATTCGTTTTTACTCTTTTTGATCTATATTTTAAAACTTTGTTTTTTTTTTCCACACGAGCAGCGGAAACTTCAGCATAATGTATATTTGTTGATGTGTCTATATATAGATATAGTGTATGTGTATAGATGTATGTCTATATATAATTTATATGTACGTGTATGCGCTTGGATAAGGATCGTATCGGCTGAATTTTTCTTCTCTCTCTCTCTCTTTCTCTCTCTCTCTCTTTCTCTCTCTCTCTCTCTCTCTTTCTCTTTTATCCGTCCGCATATGGCTACAGGTAGACGAATGTTCTGCTTTTTGCCCGATTTTTTTTCTTTGAGTGAGAATTTTAATTCTGGGGGCCAGGAGGTTGAGAAATGACTCCAGATGTAAAATCTGTTTTTGTTTTTTCTTTGTTTCTTTTCCTTCACTTAATGAATTCCTTGGTGACCCTACCGATAACTTGCAGGGTGTGTGATCTACCCTATAAAACTTGATAACTGTCACTCGCATTGGCGTCGGAAAGTTGAACATTTATCGGATGGCATTCTGTGTCCGTCTTTCAACTGCTAAATTTTATGCAATTTGAAAATACATTTCTCTTTTCTTTAATATTATTGATGTTCTTACACTTTATTTAACTTTCATTTTTTCATTTTATGTTTCTTTTATTTTTTTATCTATATTTTAAAACTTTTTACAGACTTGCAGGGGAACCATCCTGTTTTTTTTTAAACTCTTCACAATATATCTTTATATATATATATATATATATATATATATATATATATATGCAAGTTTTACATATATTAGTTATATATACGCGATAATTATTATATTCCAATAAGAATATTATATATACTTATTGGAAAGCGGTCAATATCAGTGATAGAACTAACAAATTGTCTGACGATCACAAATTACGTGAAACCTAGGGTCCCAAGTTCACATCAATCTCTCTCTCTCTCTCTCTCTCTCTCTCTCTCTCTCTCTCTATATATATATATATATATATATATATATATATATATATATATATTATATATTGAATGAACAACAGACACTTTTAAGGTACCATAAAAGATTTTTCATAGTTGGAAGTGTTACCTGATGATCCGAAATCCTTTAAAAAGGATTTTGAT